GCTAAAACATATTTGTGTTCAAGATATCAAGATATACACAGTGAGTAAAGCCTCGTCGCATAAACACGGGCCTAGGCTAAAAAGTCATATAAACAACGTTCTTCTTGCTCATTGGTCATTGTAGTCAAAAGAAACATCGTATTATACAATTTATGTTATAGCCGTCATTATTGTGTCATTGAGTGTATCAGGTGTTATTTGACTCTGTCTAACCCTGAAGCCCCCGTTGTATAATGGTTATGACGCTCGCCTTGACAGCTAGAGGTCGCAGGTTCGAGTCCCGCCAGAGTAATTTTATTACACAATTTCTTTATTCATTTATTTACAGGACTACATTCGTTAAGAGATATGCTACACGATGTATAATCATGTCCTTTATTCTAACACTGTATTTACCTTTCTTTGATGATTATTATATAATTTAACAGTGTTAACGGCTATCTTGATTTATATACACACACACACACACATATATATATATATATATATATATATACATATATATATATATATATATTTAAATATATATATATATATATGGAAAGCTTCAACATTTTTTTGTTCAAGATATACACAGTCGCATGAACACGGGCCTAAGCTAGAAAGCCATACAAACAACGTTTTTCTTGCTCATTGGTCATTGTAGTCAAAAGAAACATCGTATTATACAATTCAGTTAGTTTGTTCATAATTTAAATATTTTATACATATATTGCAACAAAATAACTTGGTGACAGTATTTAAGGTGAATGTGTACCTCTATATCATTACAAAATTCCCAAAAGTGATGGGTTTAGGTCCCTAGAAGGCCTTTCAAAAATGTTTATATTTTTGGTTTGAATTGAAAGTAACTCAAATCAACTCTAGTCTCAGAAATGAATCATTGGAAATGTATACGTTGTTATAAAAAAAAAAAACAACTATGCTTCATACCGCAATTTTGATGACGTCATCTTTGGTGACTAATTTGTCTTATTGTTTCAATTTTCCTCTTTACTAACACCAATGATTTTTTTAAAATATATATTTTGGGCTTGATTCGTCTTTAACCGCACAGGGATAGAAGAAATTTTCTTTTCTCTAGGACCACTTTTATTTTTTATTTATTTATTTATTCAAGACTCAACAGTATATCAAAACACCAATAACAGAGTCGCCATAAAAATATACAATATCATTCATAAAAATATATAAGACTTAAAAAACATAAAAAGCATAAAAAAATCGTAATAATATATTAAAAACCGGTATTTAGTATAAGATTAAATAGAAATATTACAATTAAAAATATCAATATTAGGAAACATTTGAACTAGATTATTATAAGAAAGTACAACACGACGAAAAATACCATTAGTACAAACATTAACACGAGAGTACGGAACTTTTAACAAATGATTGGTACGAAGCCTACGCACAGGAACATGAAAATAAAAATTCGACACAAGGTTACAATCAAACTTACAGTTTAAACATTTAAATAGAAAAATAAGATCGTTTCGTTTTCGTCTAGTCGATGATAAACATTTTTCGCAACTAAGGGAACCGGCAGCTGGGCCAATGAACTTCATGAATTTGTTATGAATCCGGTCTATTCTAATAGAATGAGTATGAGATATTGAGTTGTAGATAACTGAACAGAAATCAATGGATGGAGTAATTATTAATGTATATAGAGTAAATTTTGCTGATGGTTTAATAACTTTGTAGTTAGTTTTGTTCTTATGGAGAACCAGTATTAGTACCACTGTAGTTAATTTTGTTCTCTTTATGGCATAAGGCTTTTTTAATGTGATTTTATGCTGTTAAAATAAATAAGTAACGTATAATAATGCTTCATTCCACAGTACAACAGCCGATACCAAGAGGGTAACACTGTAATAAATCCATAGAATTCGATAGATTTGATACGCCGGTTTTTCCTGGTAAGCTCCACAAATTGCCTATATTAACTTTATTATATTAAGTTGAATAGTGAACTGTTGTTCCATATTTATTAAAGCAATATAGGCCTAAGTAAGAAAATATGCTATAATAATAAATAGGCCTACGTGAAATAATTACACGATGTACATGCATTAACAATTTTTATCTATAATTTGTTTTTAAGCAATTAAGCACCAATAGTAATAAATATATTTTTAACGGAAGTTTAAATAAGTGGTCTGTATTAAGGCATTCATGCAGAGTGAAAGCTCGAATAATGCGACTTATATTTAATGTTTTTTAAACTCATAAAAAAATTATGTAAACACATTTTTTTTTTCAGCTAGGCATATGTGATCAAACACTTTCGGAAAATTTAATTATATTCAATTCATTGCTTCAGTGTGCCACTAAGGGCTATTATCTACTCTAAATAGACATTACAATATAATCCAATATAAATTTCAGTAAATTATTTTAAAATCGTTTACACTAAAACCGATTAAAACTCCTGAAGACATTTAGTAAACAGCAAATTTTGAATTCTGTTTAATTCTGTTTAAATTTAAAAAATAAATAAATATAAATATATATTTTTTGGCAATTTTGCCTTTCATGATAAACAAAACAAGCCAAACAATGTATTGGAAAACTTAATATAAAGTCTACATTTACGTTTTTTAAACAATCAAGATATAAATTATTGCAATAAAAAACAAATAATATTATGTCTATGTATAATTTATTAAAACGTGTGTTTGTAACTGATATACGACAGTTTTAATCCCGACACGATGGCGTGCATTTCGATATTTGGAGTATGTATTATACTATCTTATCTGAGATAATCAGTGGACCTTTCGCTTTAACTTATTAATTATATTGAGAATTATCTGTCTTCTAATGATTATTTATAACCAAAGTTACTTCTACAGAGTAGGCTTCTACTAACATGCAGACAATCCTGTTAAATATACCCAGTACTGTTTCGAATATGATTAAACGGCGATTATTTTTACCATGCTCAAATAAAAATTAATAATATATTTTGTCAAAGATAACGTCAGTCAGGATGTAAGTATTTCGAAAGAAACCTATGCCTTACTATCTTCAATTGAAGCACATATGCCTATAAGGAGCTTATTTTCTAGAAAACGTTTGCAATGTATATGTTTGTTACTTTCTTTATACACTAGATTGAAGCAATGGCCACAAAAGAGTATCTATCTTTTGATGACTTGAATGCGCTCGATAGCAGTCCAGTGCAAGTAAAAGATTCGTTTAAAAAGATGTATAGGACAGACCCTGATGGCATAGCTTTAAACAAAGAAACATACTTTAAGGCTGTCAAACCAGCTATTACAGAGCAATATGGTCACTATGCCTACAAAACTGCAGGCCAATATCAGTTTACAAGTGGCAGTGTAACTGAAAAGGGTGATGCTATTGTTGGATCATCCACAGTTCGGAACGAAAGTGATACTATGTCTTCAATGACCGTAAATGTTCAGGGAGAATGGAATGACACAACAAGCTACTCAACCTCAAGTACAACTGGTTTAACATTCTCTAATGAAATTACAATTGAAGGTTTCTTTAAAACTGGTACTGAATTTTCCTTTTCTGTTACATCTGAAAAATCTGAGTCAAAGAGCGTTAGAAAGACAAGTAGCACATCAGTAACAGTTGATGTGCCTCCAAGATCAAAAGTAACAGTCACTATGACTGGCATATTGACGATAGAAAAAATGGAATTTAAAGTTCCAATTGATGTAAGTGGTATGTTTGGTGCAAACTTCCCAAAGAGAGTCAAAGACCATTATTTTTGGTTTAGAGATGTACACTCTGTGCTGCCAAAAACAAGCGGAGAAATTAGTGGCGTTATCGAAAATACCAATGTACTCAAGGTTGATACTGTAATCACAAAGGCTGTTCCTATTTAGTGAGTCTTTTATGTTACGTTACAACCATTTTCAGATCTGGTATTAAATTCGATGTATCAAAATATCGCCCTATTTCAATTTTCTCAATATTCTCCAAAGACCTTACAAAATTTATATATGGCGAAACTCTTAAGCTTATCCCCAAATTATAGCTAACAATATGGGTTTAGGAAAGGTTACAATACCTCCATGGCACTTATTGACCTCACCAATAGAATTGTTGATGCTCTTGAAACCAGACAATTTACTTTACTATCGAAATTAAGTCGTACAATTAAAATCATAACAATTTTTCACTCATTGAATGTTAAATGAAAATTTAAAAAAATAAATTTAAGCATAATTCTATGATATTAACATGATTTCAAAGTTTAAGCATTAACCAATTGTAACCATTATTATGGATTTTATTTGACCAGTATATACCTTATTTTTTTCCAC